TCCAACCATATGATTGAAGAATTTTATCATAATAGCACCATTAACCTGTTGTTTGATGCTGTTATTATGACATAACAAATGTGAGTTTAATCAAATGGTTACTACCCTTTTCCAGATGTCTTTAAAATTCAGCCAGAGCAAGTTTTTACTGATTTACATCCATACCCCTGTCCAATTACAATGTCAGCCTGTTGGAAAAGGCTCCATTCACCATCGCACTTTCTGTTGCACCTTGCATGATAAAAACATTCCTGGATTTTAATCAATGTACACAAATTTTATGAGTTTCAGAGTTTTAACATGGGGGGGGGTGGGCCTTTATTTCACCTGTGTCATCGTCAAATACAGGCAAAATAATAATGTCCAGGGTGAAACTAATAATTTTTAGTTTCACCCTGGACACCTCATCACCAAAACATTCTAATTATTACACCCCACCCACAGACACAGCGGGTCTGGAATGTGAGCTTGTGTCCTTCCTAATGATCCTGTCAGACTACAACCAGTATCAATTCACACCTTGTCCAAACACCAGTGTCCTCTTATAACCTCGTCCAGGACAGTGGTACATTCAACAGAAAGAGAAATAACTGTCTAGTTCGCAAAAATGCTTCCAGCAGGCACAGAGCTTGGTAACTGGGACAAATACGAGAAGTGCTGTGCGGAATTTTGGGTCAAAATGAATAATGATGAGGATAAATAGTCCAACTGTGGAGATTGTTGTGTCACCCATGGCCTGGGAGGGCTAGCTTCATTGAAATCAGCGCAGTTTACTGCCACTTCATTCACTTGCCCACAAGAGCAACAGTTGGACTCACAAATGACCAAAAGTTATGTTCTATCTAGGACTTTTAAAAAATGTGATATGGGTCTCTTCAGGTCTGTCAGACGCAAAACAACGCGGTTATACAACTACACAGCTACACATCAACTTTGGCATTAGCTGGCTAGCCAAGCTATCATTAGCCAACGGTTAACTGACACATCACTGGACGTTATCACTACCAGGAAAAGCAATCAGTGCTGAATGCGCGAAGCACCCTGCTTTCCCATGAATGTGCCGTCCTGTTTTGCCCAGGATGCGAACACACGCTTAAAATTAGACAATATCTAGCTAATAGGTTTAGGTCAACTGAACTAACGTTAGCCCGGTGTTGCTATTAAAATAATAAACTATCCATGTTGTTACAGTTCACGTTAGCTAACCAAGTTTGTCATTCCAACTGTCAGTCACTTTAACTGGCTTCACAAGTTCCTGCCACAGGTGCATCAAGATGAACGCTGGATTTTTCATTCTGAAATTAATTTCTTTCCAGGGAATAGCCTAAGCCACAAGAAACAACAGTTTACTCCTGCTAACACAACTAGCAACAGCATAGTAGCTGATATTAAAAGTGAAGACATACACAAACATGCTTCTTAACGTGTAGACTTTAACTTTCCTTTTTTTAAGCAGTCACTGACAGCCACATCCTTCCAGCTCTTTGCCTGGTACTGTCAGTAAGCTGGTACTGAATAGCAGGCCACCTGGGTGCACGCCTGCCCGGCTATCCACGTCACTATAGCGCCAGGCTGCAGCGGCCCGTCCGGCTCCCTGGCTAACTTAAAATGGCGGTGAATGCTAGCTAGCTTGCTAGCAACGAAATTCGCTTGAGGGAGTGTGAAATCATTGCTTCACCACCACCACTACCACTACTACTCGCTGGACATTTGACACGACAACAAGTAAATAAATAATATTTCATTCACATACCTTTAAATTTGAGGTCAGACGGAGGGTCGAGGATAAGGATCTGATCCAACTTTGACATGTTGGCTGAAGGGATGCACTTGATTTCGGTATCGTGGAGTTTACTAACAAGTGGAAATCCTGGATCCCTTCTGCCACTACTGAGTCAAACGCTGACTGAGCTCAGCGAGCATGTGGGTACAAATACTTGAACGCGCGAGTGCACAGCCCTCTGTTGCGCGCACTCGTGGTCTGGCAACTGATGCGACAGTAAACGAGTTATAATGTGTGGACACTGAAATAGACGTACAGGGAAGGAAAAACATGTTATAAAATAGTCTTATAAAATCCAGAACCAAGTTAAATTGTGCTTTATTGATTTAATCGAGAATTTTAATCAGGGACGTATGATAATCGCATGTCTGCGGTGTATACATGCACATTAACGCAGTAAATTCACTCTGCAGTAGTCTAGTTAAACCTGTTAGAAGTATTAGTGAACGTACATGTAACGTAAATGTAAGTGTTGTTTGTGGTTTAAAGGGCATGTTGAGGTTGGTGTGTAGCACGGGTCACATGTTGCCCTGGTAACAGTACCGGAGTGGTCACCCTTTAAAGATGTTTGTTTACGACGTAATCAATGTGTGCAATCAAACTAAACCACAGATTACTTAATCAGTATACTGATAACAGTATACTGAGTATACAGATACTAAGGGACTATAGTCCCTTAGTATTATCTTATTTTCACAGAAGTGATTTTTTTCCATCAATGCAAAATTTCATTAGACTATTTTAGATTTGGAGATCTTATAAAACCATGATTTTAACCACTACTTTTAACAACAGTTGTATCCCTCTGGGAAAATTTTGGAGACCAGTTGTAGGACTTTTGAGAGATGAATGTCGTCTGGTTCGTGTCTGATATATGACTCTAGCTGCTCAAAAATTCCAGGTCTTCTTCTTTGTTTTTACTTTTCATTTCATCATGCTTATAATGCTTTTCATTGGTGAAAAGTCTGATATACAGGCAGGCCAGGTCAGCACCTGGACTTTTCTCCTACTAAGGCAGTAATCAGATTAGCATAGTCTGAAATATGCAAAGCTTTCCCTGAAAGAGGACGTCATCTGGATGGGAGCTTTATGTTGCTCTAAAAAGTGTATATACCTTTCAGCAGTGATGATTGCTTTTCCACCTGGAAAAAGGTGTGCGAGCTCCCAGTTACACAAGCATTAATTCCCAGACACAGACAGTGATTTCTGGAAGTGTTCCTGAGCCCACGTAGTGATTTCCATGACAGAATCATGACTGTTTTTAAGGCAGTGCTGCTTGAACGCAGACTGGTGACCTACTGCCAACTAACCTAACTAGTTCAAAAATCTTCCTGCAGCTGTTTCTTTTTTTTAGTTAATACTGAAGTCAGTGCAGAAAAACACCAACTGGTTGAGGAGAACTCTTTCTAAAAAAGAAAAACTTTTTTTATTCGAGAGATGAAACTTAACACATTTTAGGCCATCATGTGAGCGTAGATGAAAAGGGGAATGCTAAAAAGGGGAATTTAAGATGCTATTTGCGAGGAATCCAGCGATTTTGTGCAGTGTGTGTACTCATTGTGAACTATTAATATCTGAGGCTTGCTCTCTTAGAGACCATTGACAACTGCGATCCATCGTTTTTATGGGAATTGAGGACTTCTCCTCAGTAAGCTGTACTGAATAGGACGGAGTCTACATGTGATTTGAGGTGTTTAAAGCAGTTCAGAGTGTCACGCTTGTGCATGTTCAGAAATAATGATCATTTCTTGCTGTTAAAGATAAAAGGTTGTTCTATAGTGATATTGGGGGTTTTTAGGCGAAAGCCAGACATTTGTTCTTCCATAATATACCTTCCCTACCAGTATCATGTTCAGTCATTTCCATATGACTCCAGTATACGGTGGTTTAAATGAGGCTGCATAGAGTGTTTTCACAATGTCAAGATGTTAATGTCATGATACAACCCTCTTTTAGTGACTGCATCTTTCTCACTCATTTACCTATTATCAAAACTCAATAGAGATCTTGAGAAAAGAGGCTTGTTCGGTTCTAAAAATGAAAGGTATGGGTCATTACCAACACCTTAAGGGTGGTTAAAAGTGAAAGTACTGCGAGACCTCATTGGTGTCATAAGCCACTGTTCAATGACGATCCACATCAGTGGACAGATGGCCTGTTTTACTCCTCTTTCAAACCGTTTGTCTTCTCAGTCTAAAGTTTGAACTCTGGCATCCTTCAAAGAGTGGCCTTTATCCTTTAGATGCAGATGTGTAGCTCAGTCTTGTCCTGTCGAGGTGGCTCTTCTACGCTGTGCCATGCATTTATGGAATAGCTGTTTGTTTTCTCCAGTGAGAACACTATGATACTTAGCTTGTGTTTGGGAGTTTTGTCTTTGGGATGAACCAGCTTTTGTCAAGTGTGTCGCTGGGTCTGAAGTGTTCTGGGATGTCAAGCTTGTTGGCTAAAATTCTCCAGTTTCTTTGACAGCAAGCGGGATTCACCCCCTTTTACTTTTACAGCTGAAGAAGACTCTTGGATGATTGATAGATCAAATATCATCAGTTCAGTTGCCTTTGTTTTCAAGCTCTCTAGACTACTGGATGACTGAGAAACTGTACAGACATCAGCTTAGTTTGTAATCCTTTGACAGTGTTTGAGATCTTTGATGACACTTCAGTATTTCATTATTGGAAAGAGTAAAATTTGAAGAGAAATTGAATCTTTACTTCTTTATTACATTGATTAATATACAGATGTTAATCTGGTCTATAGAGTAAACAGAGAAGCATGACTGCAGCATACAGTATGAGTGTGACTGTAAAGGAATGGCAGTGTTATGTATATATTTGGTCAGACATGAGTAATTAATTCTAACAGTATGCACATTTTAGCCATGTCATACATTTTGTTTAGAAAAACATACAAAAGGCACTTGTGTCGCCATCTCAACACACAAAAGGGGGTCCAAACAATGCGCACTGAGAAATCCAGTCTACATTGTATGAAGGTTGTTTTCAATCATAACTCTTCCAGCTGATATAACTTTGTTTATATCTGGTACTAAGAAGCTCTTAAGTTCATTTCAGTTTTCATCTTAAGGTTCAGATCGCGCGAACAGGTGTGAAATGTGTGTGTTTAGTTAGTTTGTTTGTTTGCTTGTTTTAATCCATTTTAAATCATGCTTTTTATTTGTTTTTGTTTCTAATGTCTCTGTAAAGCACTTTGAATCACCTTGTTGTTGAATTGTGCTATACAAATAAATTTGCCTTGCCTTGCCTTGCCTTAAGCCAATTACTGAGTGGTGCATTTTAGTGGAAGATTGTAGTCCCATGCCGCACATTTGCTCCAAATTAACCTCTGAGCTAAAAAACTGCGTCATATACCTAAAGGTATGCATGCACCGTATGTTTTTCAGATAAGCAAGGCCACACAGACTAGAAGATTTCTGAATGAAGGCTGGTATATTTTCCCATATATAGGGCGGTAAATATCATTATATTTATGGCATTACAAAGTCAACATTTGATTCTATTATCCCATCATACCTGTTGATAAAAACTGTACACGTTATAATGTAAATAAGTAACTCAAGTACAAATGTAAACTACAAATGTAAGCTATGACAATGCAAAACTAATTGGTCAGTATTGTAATTAATTTTCATGTTCCTTCAAATAATTTCTCCTGTATGCTGAAGTTAAGGAGAACTGCAATAGTTAACATTTTTACTATTAAAGCAACTCCCAGCTGATACTGTGTAAATATGCAAAGTGCTGCATGATGAACGGTTTAAACGGTTAGGGCTGCGCTCCCACAGTTCTTTTAGAGTTTGGTTAGTATATGCAATATAACAGCTGCACACATGTTTAAAGTCAAATACATGCAGTTCTTGTCTCTTATCAACAATACAAAAGTGACCCCTTTTACAGGTAAAATGCATGAAAAAACAAAAACACGACTGGCAGCTGTATACAGTCGTTCCCTGCAATGAAATCTCAATACACTTCAGCACGTAGAAAACATCTTTAACAAATCACTATGTAAACAGTTCTAGCATTGGTCACAGTGTTTCAGCCGGGGGTGTCATGCTGTAATTGTGATTCAAGCTGTTCCCACTGCAGCACTACAGTTAAAATCTTTCTAAAGCAAATGTGCGTGAAAAACACGTGAGGAATGTAAACCTGTCGCATTTGAGCTACAGAGATAAATGCTCGTCTGAGTTTGTTCTTATCGACCTCTTACTTAAATGTGGCACATGTGCACAAATGCTTCATGGGTGGAGGAGTTAGACTTGCTAAAAGTTGATATTAAGAATTTCAATGTGTTTAAGAGCCACAGTGCTATAATAGTCTACAGAGAAGGAGAGTGATGAAAACAACTATTAAATTCCTGTCTTTAGAAAACAGGTCAGCTCCGCTTGTTTTTAATTTGTGCTCAATTTTAAAGTCAGAGTATAAAATGAGTTGAAATTTAGAATGAGCTTCTGTATGTATCACACCACACAGTAGTTCAGCCAGAACACCACCTGAGGGGGACAAACTGAAGGCTTTCTGCTTCATGACTTCAGCAGATCTGAAACTGCTAGGAATAAATTAAATAAACATGCATGTTAAAACTGGTGGATTGACGCATATAATACTGCTGGCAGGTTTTTCTGTTTCATGTTGCAATCAACCACACGTGCAGGCCAACTTCAGTCTGCTCACTGTGCTGTCACTAGGGTAAGACGCCGTGTGGATTGCTGTGCTGGTGGGTCCTTAGTGCGGAAGGAAGTAATCTTATCAGCCGCTGCTGGTACTAGCAGCACCTCCTGGTGGATGGAGCAGGCTGTCGTGTGAGTTTAAAGGAATCATTGCTGTCCACCTCAGAATTTTCCAGAGGTGGAATTTGTTTACCTAAAAATACAGACATTTAAAGAGATTCCACATCAGATTTAGTCATCTTAAGCATACAAAGAGTTTTATAAATTTAGCTGAGTTGTATTTGGCATTGCTTCACTACTACTAAAATTAAGGCAGAGCAGTTTTTTTGATGACCACATGAAAGAAAGGAGTTTGCTTAGCTTAGGATACACAGCGTTGAACCAAAACATCCCAGCATCAATTAGCCGGAATAAAAATAAAACTTTCACTGTGTTATATTTTATTTAAAATATATCCCCCACATTATGGCAGAACCTTAATGCAATTAAAACAGAAAATGTGCATTACAAACTGCATGATGAAACATGCAGTTTGTAATGTACATTTTCTGTTTTCATCATTTGGAGTCATCATTTGGAGTCATGCTGTGTTGCAGGCTCCAGGGTAATGTAGAGTCCAGGTTTATTTGGAACTGAATAATTAAAGTCAGAGCTTTTTTCTGCTTCCATTCTGAGCACAAACAAAAGATACATTTAAAAAAAAATCTGTCTCTTGTCACATTTATCCACTTTGTTAACTGATCATCCACTTCAGGGTCTATTCTAGCTGTCATACTGCAAGTTGCCAGGTACATCCTAGACAGGACACCCTCAATCACAGGGCCTGTAGCCAATCTAGATTCGTTGACCTAACAAATCCGTTTTTGGACTATGAGAGGAAGCTGGAGTTCACTAGGGTATTAACATAGACTAGTGTTTAACATGACCAACAGTTACTTTCACTGAAATGCAGACAAGAGAGAAGATTTTAGAGCTGATCTGCTATAAAAGTGTAGTTACTTCTCTGGGGAGGTGCAGCAGGCTGCTTAGGCCACTCTAAATCAAGCACAAGACAGGACACACTAGTACTTCTGATGGAGAAAACAAAAAGCCACAAAACCTACTGATTTTCTGAAAGAGCTCCTCAACATTGACAGCATTCCGGGCACTCGTCTCAATGAAAATAGCCGCAATTGATTCAGCAAACTCCTTAGCTTCCTTCATAGGAACTTCCCTGTAAAAAAGATGAACAGTTCAGATGGAAAATCTGCTTTTTAATCAGTCACTTTCACCAGTTGAGTTTCTAACTGGATGTAGACATGTTTGTTTTTTTCAGGCCTGACACTTCTTCTCACCTCTGATTGTGCAGTTTCCTCCATTTTTTTTAAGGACAAACTGCACACCGTGCCAAAATATATCGGGGTTTCAGCTTATAACACTTTGGGAATCAGTTTGTTGGGGTAGAAATGCTATTTTATGCCTGTCAAATTGTGTTATCTTTGCAATCTCTCATGAATTCAACTAAAAATGTTAACAAAAGATGTATATTTGTGACAGGCTGCAAGTAACAAAATGTCTACAGATACAACTGAAAATTGTTTATTTGCTAAGTTGTCTGTAATGTGAAGGCAACACTTAAAAAAGGACTTTTTAAACTTGACTGTTTCATAGGTCAGTGGCTCAACAAAGTCAGTCCACTGAAATTAGTCAGGTACAAGAACGTACAAAATGTACAGAAATAAAGTGGCGACTCCACACCTTTGCACAGTATTGTGTGACTTTACTGCACATATATTGTTGAAGGAAGGGATACAATAAAAGAAGACTTATAATTGGGACCAGAGTGAATAATAACACAACTTCTTCATCACTAAACATAAAGAGAAAGGTCATGTTGCTGCTTTGGAACAAATAAGACCTTTGAAGTGATGCCACAGACCTCCAATAACAGGGGTGTCAAAATTATTTTAGTTCATAGGCCACATATATATTTTAGTTTGGTCTCAAGTCTGTCAGGCAATAAAACAAAAATAGAAGTACTTTCTGAAAACGACCACAATTAACGAGCTATTCATTGACAGAACATGTGACGAAGAGCCTCAGAGATCAGTCTGCTGTCAGTACAAAGAACCCCAGTGGTTGTAAATTCAAGAAATGCACAAGTCCTTGGCTTAACCACCTTACTTCAGTGTGGTATGACAGGACGTGGCTAGACGATGATTCAGATCTCTGCCCGGATTAAGTTAACAGTTGTCCTGTTTCACTCTTAAAGACTTGCAACACAATACTTTGTACTTCTTCTCTGCAGTTTGCTCACTGTGAAAATCCCTCAACTTTGGACCCCTTTTTGAGGTAAATTATTTCCATTTTCACATTTGTTTGTTAACTCAGTCTAACAGTGTCTGTAGAAACTTTTTTTAAACATATTTGTAACAAAAGAGATGAAAAATTGCGGTTTCAAAGAGACAATTTCAACAAACTCTGTTCCAGATGGACCCAGTACATTAAAGAGCTGAGAAGCGATTTTATTTAAGTGACTCTCCTTACCTAGGTAAGCAACTATAAGGTGGACATCACACCAAGATTGGATCAACTGCCTCCAGTTAGAGAAATACAACTGGGAACTATTACTTACATCTTACTACAGTTTTGAGAAATTGAAATTCTGTTGGATATGTTGACCAACAATGTATATGGCTATCTGATCTTTGTCCCCATGTATGTTGTAAAGTTCCTTCTGTACAAGATCACCAATAAAAACTACAAATATAAAAAAAAGAGAGATGAAAAAAAGAAGCCCACCTGATGTCTCCTAAATCATTCTTATTCCCTGCTATAGCTACTACAATGTCTTCTGGACCGTGTTCCTTCAGCTCCTTCACCCATTTCTTCAGCGTCTGGAACGAATCCTGGACAACAAGAAGACATTGGGGTCAATCCTGGGATAGATCGTTTATGAGAATATGCCCAGCAGTTTTTTTCCGTCTCCTGTCATATATTCATTGCTTTTTTTTTCCCAGACGAGTTTCCATTAACAAACCAGGAAAGAATGACATTTGTAGGTCATGAAACACAGCATCCCACAGTGATGGAAAAGTAGCAAAAATTCTTCACTTACAAATGTTCAGGACAGCTGTTACTGATGTTTTTCATTTTTTCCATGGAGCTAACAGCCCTGACACTTTAACCAGTTTAGCAATAGTAAACTTGCTGTTACACTTACCAGTTTAGTAATGTCATAGACAATGACAGCAGCAGCCGATCCTCTGTAGTACATAGGAGCTAACGAGTGAAACTAAAAAAAGACGACACATTTATATTAGTTAGTATGATTGATTTCATTTTTTGGTATATCACACATAAATATGATCCAAAGTGCTCAGTCTATGATTAATAAGGGGGAAAAAAAGCTTATAAAAGCCTGGCAGAGTACTATGCCCATACATTCTTACATGATGAGTTTATGGAAACAGTTACTTCCTCAAGTCCCCAGGCCTTTCTAACTTTTAGCAGTTACCTTCACTTTGACTTGACAAACTGTGGTAGCTTGTAAAGAAATGCTGAATGTAAAAATCACCTCACTAAATGTTAGCCTACTGCAGATAAACGATGAGTGAACGCATCGGCTAATAATGTACCAACACGTGCCAAACTTTGAGATCATTTATAAACAGTGAATCCAAAAACAAATGTCAATTTAAGAATAAATATCACACTCAGGTTATATTCTTTTACATTTCCTATACCAATGTATGGCATCTGTATCTAAATTATTTCTATTTTGTACTGAAGTTACTGTTGGTTTCTCTTATCAGTTAAAACCGGCACCATTCCCTTAAGCTTGCGCAGCTTTTCTTCTCCTCTGCACCGACACATTGCTCAGTAACTATCATCAGTACAACTATATATCCACTGCCAATGAGAAGAGAAGATACAATTCATCTCAAAGTTGCAGCAGTTTAGTTAACTCAACAATCATAAAAAAAAAAGTCAATCGGTAGAATGGTAAATGGCCTGTATTTGTATAGAGCACTTTAAACATCCAGTCATCCACCCATTCAAACACTGGTGATTTCAAGCTACATTGTAGCCACAGCCACCCTGGGGCGCACTGACAGAGGCGAGGCTGCCGGACACTGGCAGTACTTTAATGTTGGTCATAAGGGTGGTATTCTAAGAGCCATATATTTTATGAGGTGGTACTCGTTTTGAAAGGTTTGAGAAACACTGACATGTTCAATTATATTTGGTATCTAAAAGCCCAAAAATGTCAGGTAAGGGAAGTGTGTGTTTAAACAAGCAGATGGTGTTTGAATGATAATAAATGTAGAAAAAAATATTATGGCATGTTTTTGAAATTATATTAATTACTCAGACGTCACAGGTTTAATCAGCAAGCTCACAGTCATGATGATAACACTACACTACAGTGACATCAATATTTCAAGAGTGTCCACAGTTGTATTGTTCACAGATGTTTACAATCAGCACCACTGATCACACAAGATCAGTCGGTCAAATGTAATAATAGAACGCTCACAGCAGAAGTCCCAGCATACTTTTTTCACACATAAGCAGGAAATGCTCGCGTTAGTTTTTTCCATGCAGTAAGCAGGTTTGGCAAGCTTCAGCTATAACCCACCTCCCCCTCTTAGCCATCAAATTAATCACCGTGATGTCTTATGACCTTTGAACTCTTGTGTCAAGCATCCTGTTTCATAACCTATAAATATCTACCTATCACGAGTACCAGCTTTCTGATGCAAAGTTTAATGGAAAATCAACATCACATGTGTTAACTTAAAGCTAACAGCGAGTCCATGCGGAGTTTCTGTTGCGTACACTTACCCGTTCCTGCCCAGCTGTATCCCAGATTAGAAATTTGTGTAGCTCATTTCCACATGGCACTGTCTTGGTCAGGAATGACGCTCTGTGGATGATTTAAAGCATTTCACAACAGCTATTTTTTAGGTCACTCTTTAAGAACAAAGGGAAAAAAATCTGTGCATGTCAGCAGGAAAGTAAGAACACTGAAAACAAGTATGTTTGGGACAGCATGTTTGTTGCTCTAGAGGCATGTAAAACCTCCTTTATTTCAGTGTTTATTGCACCAAGTACTAAAAAAACTATAATTTTTAAACAATTCTACAATCTTTTTGCCTTAAAGTGTTACTCCAAAGTGAGGGTTTTTAAAATTTAAAAAAATCAGATGCAATGACATAGTAAAATCAAGGTTTTTTCACAGGCTTACAGAAGTTGGAAGGTGGATTTGCAATTATTCATTTGAACCCATTTTCCCATAAGTTACATTTTTTACACTGTTTTCAACCACTACTCGTATCCTATTTGTGCATTAAAGCTTGCAAACACTTAACTAAAATTTGTACTTCAAAAATGTCATTAAATCACATATTTGCAATAAAATGAAAACGCCTTATGAGAATTATTGGAGTTGTGGAGCTGAAGCAGGATGACTCCCGCGTGGGTTTGTCTTTATTTCAGTTGCTAAAGTTTGTTTAGAATAAGCTATGTGTTACCTGCTGAGGTTTCCCTTACAGGAAGGAGACCTTTTGGCTGAGCTGTACATGTTCTACATTGTCTCGGAGGTTATGACTATCACCAATCCGCCCAATTTTACTGTGGACTAAAGAAATATTAAATAGTAATAAAAGTCTGTTAAGTTTTAACAGTCTGACAATAGTGTCTTGTGCAATTCCTTATATGTATATATAAGTATTCAGTTAAGATAAAAGACCCAAATGAAATAAGGTACATTCATCTTTATCTCTTGAGTAATCAGTTCTTCTATAATTAGGTTTAACTTCTGTAGCTTATAGACAGTTCATAGGATTATCAATCTACCCATTAGTACAAATGATGTGGATTGAGATCACTAAAAAACACAAGCTTAACTTGAGCTTGAGCATAGTTTCATTCAGCCAAATTACTGATTAACTGGCTGAATCTCCCTGTACATTTCTGTACATCTTTACTTCAGCTTTGTGTCCAAACACGATTGATTAGTTTCCTGCTGCTTAAGCCTTCTGCTGATTAACACTCACCCTATGGTTGGACTTATGTTGTGATCGAAATGATCCTGGACAAATCGGCAAACAATGCTGGATTTCCCAACTCCAGTGTCCTGCAAACATCAATCAGTCACAGGACATGCACACAAAGAGTGAGCGGTCACTATTGAACCTACTGGATTATACAACCATAGCAAATACAAGAGTGTGCAACAGCAGTATTTAAGTCATTAAAATGATAACGTGAAATTATCCAGTAACACACGGTGTATGACTCTGTGTAACACGTACTTTCACTTTAGATTTCTTAAATATATTTTGATGGTAAAACTTTTGTACTATAATCACTTTTACTTATTAAGGGTTTTCACAATGAATACTTCACCTGCATTCTTACTAAGGGCCAGCAGGGGGCAACTCTTGTGGTTGCAAAAGGTTTCCAGCTGTAATCAGCATCTTCCATGCTAACTCCAGGTGAGCACAACAATCTGCTAGCCACCAAAGCAATCACAAAGAGGCTTTTGTGCACAGCGTCCTCTTTGCGACTGATTTCACCTACTGTAGCAACAGCCAAGCAACCTCTGGGAACTATTCACCAACCACTCTGGGAATACACATTTTCCCTTGCAAACAGTGGCTATATCGTGTCCATCATCATCCGAGATAATACTGGTATACATTTTTTTACTGATATCACAGACTCACTTCCTACTTACAGACTCCATTTAGTAAGTTGACTTTTCAGAATATACTAATTGCCCAACACAATCACAAGGTGTTAGCCAAATGAGCATGTGGTTCACAGAGAGAGCCACCTCTTATTAGTGTTGTGCAATACTGCAGAGTTAAAGTAAATACAAGGCCAGTATCGCTGTTACCAATACCGATACTTCTAACTTATAACATCAACTTATGTAGAGAAGAGTGGTGTGTCATGACTTATGAGATGAATCACCATCAATTTGCAAATTCTGAATACATTTTATTGACCACAGTAATTGGATAACACAATAAAACACACCTTTCAGCTTTTTGTGTATCTTGAAACTGTGTTTTTTGGAGACCTGGAACGTAATGCCCTTTTGCCCCACTAGCACCTACTGGGCTCAGCATGGCTCAACTCAATTCGGTTTTTAGGTGGTACTCAGTTGTAATTGAAAACAACTGAAAATGAGTAGAGTTGAGTCAAATCGGTACTTGTGGAAAAAAGGCGCAAGTGTGCCTGTCTCAAAAAGACTTCTGTTGTTTAAATGGGTTATAGGGTAAAAATAAAATAGACATTAAAGTCTGTTTTATCCTTTCCCCAAAAAGTCATTTAATACAGTTCAATGGACTACATACTGAATTTAGATCATAGAAACTAAGTATCAATTCTATCGCACTAGTATCGATACCAAAACCAGTGCTGGTATCGTTACTACCGATATCTGGATAGACCCCCTCAATTGTTACCTCTGATTCCAAAAGAACGACATGTCAACAGTAATAATGCTCAACTCATTGTATCTACATTAATCTTTGAGTCTGTCTATAATTTAAACTCTCATGCAGTCCCACTTTTCATGTAACACATCTGATGAAGAAAATAGGACCCCCCACCCACCCACTTCCCAGTCTCTTACTGTGGCACCCCATTTTTTTAATCGTATAAACACCCCTGTACGGTTTTATGTGACTTTAAATGTGCATAAAATCTGCTCCTCCCGCTTGTTATAAGCATGCAGAGGTGTAACAAAAGATGGGTTAAGGTCAGCGTATGGTTGGGCTGACTCAAAAAAATATTTTAGTGAGGATGTCAGGGCCCTGAGGAGGTATGCGGGGGCCTAAAAACCTTATGAGGCTCTGAAAAGTTCCCAGCTCCCGACTTCAACATCATCGATAAAGCGACAGTTTGCGGTCCAAAGCGCTCTCGCCGTCCCTGTCACCGTTTATAAAGACAGACTGACGTGTTTCGCTAACGCAGCAAGAAATCTAACGGCTCGCTGGCTCCGATGATGACGTAATGGCTGATAAACTGTCAGAGCCGTTATAAAGTAAAGATTTATACTACACAGCAGAGCTTAATCTGTTAAGAACTACAAAATACATGCGATAGGACATACTCAAAATGACTGCCGACCGATGAGGCTGGTTTTAAGCCAACTACTAGCTACTAATATTAGTTAAATTCCCAACTTATTTCACGAAGACGACAAAGAGTTCTTTTAAATAAAATACCGGAACTGACAAAGTACCGACTCTACCATTAAGTTGTAAACGAGCAGCTGTTAACATCAACATGTTGTCGGCTTTTTCAGTTTCGCAGCAGACTAAAGGAATTTGCCCCCAAAACGGATCAACAAAAACATCAACCACTTACCCCTAAAAGGCAAACCTTGAGCTCCCTTATAGCCATGGTAAGTTTTGGAAAGTTTTTAAATCATCATTTGTCAGTGTACACTCAATGTATTTCTTTCTTCATGCTTGAAACTCTATTATTTTCCCCTCTTCTTGGATAAAATAGAAACCCAGCCCCTGATACAGACAGACATCTCCACTAAGCGGCTGACAAGGCGCATAAAATAAATTTTACAACATCCGGCAGTGACTTTCAAAATAAAGGTATCTTACAGCCGTTTTGGCACAAATAATGCGAAAAGGCTCCAACAAACAACTTCGTTTGCAATTTTATCTCTGCCTGTCAGTTACATGTTTATATTTTGAAATAAGAGATGAAAGATTTTAGACCCATTTTACCCTAAAAAAAAACAGTGTTCTTTAGTTAAGAATAGATAAAAGTGCATACAATGGTCTTCAGTTCAATGAAAGTATAACAGGACCGGGAAATGTCGGTCTGCTCTTAACATATTTTTGCAATTAACTAATTTAACCAAAGACAATGACGACTGTGACAATGATGTTTTTGTTTCAAAAATAAAAGCCTAAAGTAGGATCATCACACAGCCGGCTGTGCCCTGGCAGCCAAAAATGACTGGGCTCCAGCCCAGTAATGGCTACCAGGCTTGAGTGGGTTTTTTGTAAGTGGGCTTGGGCCAGTTTGGACTGAGAATTGGCAGAATAAATGCACGCACACTGCATTAGGACTGAAAAACCGACCAAGGTTGGTAGTCTGACTTTTGACAAGATAAAGACTTTGTTCACTTTCAGCACCCAAACTACTACCATATATGGGCCAAGGCATTTCTTATAAATCAACTTGATTTTGGCCATTAAGGTGCCAAGCCGTTTTGTATACCTGGCCAATCTGTTAACATACTTTACAACATCACGAAACAAAGAAAGATGGGGAGGGCACTGAGGAAAACTGACAGTAACCACAGAGTCACAAGCTATGCAGGTTTCTGTGGTACATGATAGAAATGACCACAAATAAAAGAAAATACAACCATCAAGACTGAATAAGCTACTTATAAGGCAATTCTCAGTCATGTGGTCTTGTGAGTTGTGATTTTATTATTTTTCATAGAAGAGTGAGGAATGACTGTGACACAGTAATTGTAAATGTTGCAAGAAATCTATGGTTAAAAAAGAAAAAGAACACCAGGTAAGATAACAGTTAACTCATGAAGACCACTGACCATATCTGGCATTTAGGTACAATACTGTAGGTTTCCTTCACATGGTGAATACCAAACCTGTACCATGCAAACCGGGGCTACAATTTACATGCGCTCACCAGTAATTGATGATTAATGCAAAAACATTCTGTTCTGGTGGGTCTTGATTTCTGCTCCAATATATGGATGGCAGGGTCAGTATCTGCTGTAAACAGCATGAAAGCATGGATCCATCCCCCACCTTCTATCAACAATTTAAGCTGCTGCTGTTGTAATAATGAGGGGAATCTTTTCTTGGCACACACTGGGTGAAGAGAGCATCTTTGTAACCACAACCTAATTGAGTATTGTTGCTGACATGTTCATATCCTTATAGACATCCCATTTTTTGTTCACTGTGCTCAGATGTCTCCAAATATCTCAAAAGTCACCAGATCTCTATTTCATAGAGCACCTTTCAGATGTGGTGGAACAGGAGACTCAGCCAACCACTCAACAGTAATTGTGTGATGCTGTCATTATCTTTATAATAATAATAATTATACATTTTATTTAAAAATAGCGCCTTTCAAAGCACCCAAGGACACTGTACAACAGATAAAAACACAGAATGGTTAGATTTTTCCAGCACCTTGTTCAATCTGTGCCATGAAGACATAAGAATTAAGCCAAATCTAAAGGAACAAAAATGTTACAACCTTGTAATAACAAGTTGTACCTAATAAAATGCCCAGTGAAGGTATGTATAGCTCTATGGTTAATATTAATTGTATATCTATAGAGCCAACATTTCCTGAAATGCAGTAGACTATGTAAATCTACTCTTTTAAATTACAACCATTGCTTCCTTCCAAGAGAAAATGGTCATCATGTTATGTGAATTCAAGTCAAGCTTTAATTTTGAAAAGACAGTTCCTAACATCCGCTGTTTTCTTAGTTTTTTTAGTCCTACTTGACAAGCCTAGTTTCCAAATCGGAAACCAGTTAAAGCCCTGACCAAAAAAATAAAAAAAGCTGGGTGGCTCCACTATCTCTTGAGTAATTTGTTTTCAGAGTCAAAGTCCAGCTTTCTATTCTCTCAGAGATGCTCAGGTTTGTATTTAGGCAGATACTGTGTAATGGAAAATGAGAAGTACTAAATATGGAATACATGTCCAGCCAGACATAGTCGAGTGAAAAGGTAAACTTGAGGAAGAGACAGTGAGATAATTATTTTAGACTGACACTTTATTCTTCACAGCATTACTGTCTGTAACAATCAGCTACAAAAGCTCAGAACGATATGAAAATAACCTCACGAGAAGCTTCTGAGCCTGTTCTAGTTTCATGGAATCGGGAGTCCAGATGAGATTGCATGGATTTGCCTGTGACCAAAGCAGGGCAGTCGCACTCGCGTAACTCCATACAGGTTATTAATGGTAAAAAAAGAAAAGAAAACAACAACAAGAAGACAAAACACGAAGAGCTGAAAATACAGTATGTTTGCAATTTTACAATAATATACAGAAAAAGTAAATCAGGACACATCTCTGCCTTAAATATTATCGAACAATGACGTTACGTTGCAGCAGACACGGATCAGCTGTGAAATGAAAGGATTGAAGAAAACCTCCACACATGAAGAGTACAAAACAAAGCGTCTCCACCCATATAGGAAGCAAAAAATAAATCATCAGCACAGACTTGTTACATCCTTATTAAACTGGACAAATATGATCTCCCGCTCTTCCTCGTTAGTGCAGCGCAGGCAAAGGTAACTGAGAAGACGACTGCACTACGGAGCAAAGTGTGGCCTCCAGCTGTTTGTCTGCGTTTTGCAGCGATGAACACACATTTGTTATTTGGCTGTTCGTGTTTTCATCCACCGGTTAGTTGCGAGGTGCAACACTTCTCTGTATGAATCTGCCGTTCACAAAAAGAAAACGAACCAGAGACTCTACAATATATTTATTTGTATATTTATATATTACTAAAAAGCTGCAACTTAAAATTAATGTACTTCTTGAATAGTCATCTGTGTACTTCAGAATACTACTTAAATATAGAATATATAGATAGACCAATCATAAATTCTTCATCATTCAAAAAGCTTTTGTTATCAGTGGTTCTCTGGGGCATCCTCAAGTTATGGCACAGTGGTCTCTATCCAAAAGAAAAAGTCAAATTTGCATCAAGGTAAGGGATGAATCTGAGCGACAGGGACTGATGACATTTGTGGTCTAGTGATCGCTTCCTGACTTGCTCACCAGTGAGAAATAATCTACAATCTACCCTCTCTTACTCTATTGCCTTCATTTCCCCTTCCTTCCTCCTTCATACAGGCTTGGCACGGCATATTTGAAAACATGGTCCCTGCTAGTCTCTTACAGTGGTAGTCAGTTGTCCGCTACACCAGCTAAACCTAGCATTTGTTTGTTTTTTTTCAGGGTGTTTTTTTGCATGAGGATGTGAAAAAGAAGGTTAGGACACCAAAGATGATATAAAAGGTTTTTCCTTGTCTGCCACTTGGTGGACACGGTCACTAATGAGCTCTGCAATGTGACATCTCCAGCAGGATAGCGAGCAACGCTGCAGGACAACTGGCCCACGGTAGAGACGAACACCAGCACAGACGACCATCAAAAGCATCACAGAGGTCTCACATGTTGGTGTCTCTCTTGTCTTTGTTTGGTGAAGGCTTTGATGGATCCTTAGCCGCCTTTCCGTTGGTGGTGGCAGCAGCTGCATCGGCGGTAGGAGCCACGGCAGCAACGGAGCGCTTGGTTTGCTCATCGCTGCGGGCCTCCGGGCTCGGCTGTGTGGGTGGAGCCTGCTCGGCTGGCGGCTGGGCGGTCAACTCCTGCTGTAGCTTGTGGCTCTGCAGGAGGCGAAGCTGAACGCGGAGCTCCAAGATGGCCTCCTGCTCCTCGTGGATGGCCTGGTTCAGGTGAGTGTTTTTGTTCTTCAGGGCAACAAAGTACACATTCAGAGTTAGATCCTGTAAAACTCCAGCCAATACTTTCACTATTACCAGAAACAAAAGCATGCTGAGCTTCTGGAATACGAATAACCACAATTTTGTCAAACACCGCAGGACCACCGCAACAGGTAGTGGAGGCTGGATGCTTTCTCACCTCTAGTTCCTCGTTTTGCTTCTGCAGATCTTCCAGTATCATCTGCAGCTCTTCCTCATCCTCGCTCTCACTTTCGCTGTCTGATGAATACTCCTCTGTCTCGCTGCGACCCTGCTGCCGACTGCGGAGGAACACAATGCTGGCTTACTGCTAGGATCTAATGTCGTGTTTTACTTCATGGTCCCATAAACTTGTCCGACCACATACACGGTCTTAAAGCAACTTAAAGCAAGACTTAAAGTGGCTGCCGAATGTTGACTGGTTCACAGGTGAGCTGGAATAGAGCAGGGAGGGATACTGGAGTTCACTGGGAATGGGAAAAAAACTTCAAAGATCAAAATACAGAGTATTAAAAGCACAGGCAGTGGCTGCAGTGGACACTTTTCATTGCTTTTAACACTCTGTTTCACTTCAGCTCTTTGTGTGTTATCACTTCGCTCTCCTCTGTGACTGGCTGATGGACCAACAACAGCACAAGCAAGAGTGGCCCATAGACCCAAGTAGCCCATACACCTGTTGGGCCACATACTTGTATAATGCCTCTATCTGGCAACAGAGCTCACTCCAGGCAGACGGACAATCCCTGGACTTGAGTGGACAGCGAAAGCACCATTTCTGCTCGACCATAAAACCAGAGGGAAAACATCATGTTTTTCTCTCAAACAGGCTCAAATGTCATCAGGGGTATTGCTGCTAATGAGGAGACATTCACAGGGGTTCATACAATGCAATGGTACCAGAGTGTTGTCCTGAAAACAGCCCAATATGGTCCTTCACGCACAAATCAAAGGACACAACAAGACATCCACTGAGGGATCTGAAATCAGCAGTCACACTGAAAATGATCTAAAGATCCGCAAGAAAATGTACCTGACTGGGACATTGACCACTTTTAC